TTCTATTTTTACTGCAATCATTTTTGTCTGATCTCTTGTTTGCCTCATAAGTTCTAGAAAGGAGTGGAATTTTGTGAAGCATTTAGTTAAAACGGGAGTAATTTTTTTATTTATATTTTTCTGCCCTGTTGCTTTGTGTTCTAAAGGATAGTTATAACATATTGTCTTGCAGCATAGTGCAGATCAGTTTGAGAGATTGTTGAAGGAAATGTGTGCCGATGAGGATGGGGATCTGTTAATAGAGTCCGCAGTTAAAAACGTTCCCAAAGTTTTTGTTGTGTCAACTTTGGTGAGCGTGATGCCAGCTCAGCCTTTCTTATTCCGAAATTATCAGGTTTGACACAACTTATTCCTTTGTTGAAAGGTCATCAATTCACTGCTTAAATTTTAACTTGTTATTTTGTACTCCATTTCTAGTATCCTGCGGGAACACTAGAAGTGCCTCTTTCAGAGAGTTCAGGAATAACTGGACCACCTCCTGGATGTGCTGAAGGTGGCTATAAGCACAGTGCCTTTATAGGAAGTTGTAAGCATCAAGTATGGCAAGCTATAAGAGCGTCATCTGCTGCTCCGTATTATCTTGATGATTTCTCAGATGGTACTCTCTTTTGTTCTTGAGCATGCATATTACCTCTTTAGTGGTTTTAAATTTTTTTAAAATGTTTCTATCTGACAATGTGTACAGATGTAAATCGTTGGCAAGATGGTGCAATAGTGGCAAACAATCCTACAATCTTTTCCATTAGAGAAGCACAACTTTTATGGCCAGACACAAAAATTGACTGCTTAGTTTCCGTTGGCTGTGGTGATGTTCCAACAAAGGTAAAATCATAACATCTCCTATGTTTGTGAAGAGTCAATTGATGAAATATTTCATAATATTTTGTGCAACATTAGGGAGTGATTACTCCGCTTTATTGGTTCACACAAAATCTGCTAGTGTAGGTGCGAAAAGGTGGTTGGCGTTATCTGGATACTGGTCAGGTATTGATAGAAAGTGCATGCTCTGTGGAACGGGTGGAGGAAGCTTTGAGCACATTGCTACCCATGCTCCCTGGAATACAATATTTTCGGTTTAATCCAGGTATGTGTTAAGTCTGAATTAATATGTTTACATGAGCATGAAATGTCTGGAATCTCAACCCACTGCATGGGAAACCAATTTGGATAAAGTTTTAACGTTTTTCAAACCTTAACTATTTTTGTTTTCATGCATCGACTTTTTCTCTGATGTGGCTTTTTATTTCAAGTACTATTCTCAAACAGCACAGTTCTATCTATTCTCCTGCAGTTGATGAACGCTGTGATATGGAACTGGATGAGACTGATCCTGCAGTCTGGCTGAAATTGGAAGATGCAGTTGAGGAATATATTCAGAAAAATTCTCTTGTACTTAAGGATGCCTGTGAGAGACTACTTATGCCCTTTCAACATGATGAGAAGTGGTCACATGTCCCCAAGTCAAAGGCATCAAATGACGGTATTGATGCTGACATTTTTCTTCAATTTCTCTGTGTGAATTTCAGTTTTTACTCTTTTTTTCTAGAATGTAAGCTCTGTTGATACTTCGCTGTAGCAGAGGAAAAAAGTCCATCTCTAGGTTGGAGGCGCAATGTACTACTTGTCGAAGCTTCGCATAGCCCCAGTTCTGGTCGCACTCAGACCATGCTCATGCGCTTGAGTCATTTTGTGCTCGTAATGGAATACGATTATCGCAAATGCAAGGCATATCAGGATTTGTGAAAACGGTACCAGCAACAACATTCCCAACGCCGTTTGCATCACCTTTATTTCCTCCAAGCATTCCATCAAGTCCACTTTTCTACAGTCCTGATTTTGGCCCCCAGAGGGTTGGCCGGATCGATATGGTCCCACCTTTAAGCTTAGATGGACAGTCTGGAAAAGGAGCTGCATCACCACCTGATTCTCCTTCAGGACCTAGACAGCTTTCTTTACCCGTCCAGTCATTGCACGAGAAGTTACAGAACTCGCCCCAAGTGGGAATTGTACATTTAGCCCTTCAAAATGACTCTCTTGGCTCGATATTAAGGTCAGTGTTACTGGACTGATTTTTTATAATTGCGAGTTAATGTTATATATAGCTGTAGACCTAATTTACCGGCTGTTTGCTTCTGTAGTTGGCAGAATGATGTATTTGTGGTTGCTGAGCCTGGAGAGCTTGCAGATAAGTTTCTTCAGAGTGTTAAACTGAGTTTGATATCAGTGGTGCGAAACCGCCGCAGGAAGGCTGATTCATCTTTCGCCAATATTTCAACTATTTCTGATTTGGTTGCATGTAGACCATACTTCCAAATTGGAGGCATCGTTCACCGTTATATGGGACGCCAAACTCAAGTATGTTGCTTTAGCATTGAAACGATTGATTTTGCTACTTGTTGGATAGTTGCCAAACTGCCGAACTACTAACTCTGATATGTTTAATGATGGAATTTATTAAAGGTTATGGACGATGGCCAAGAAATTGGAGCATATTTGTTTCGTAGAACTGTGCCTTCTATCCATTTAACACCTGATGATGTTCGCTGGATGGTACACTATCACCTTTACGTTTGTGAAGTGAAATCTGAATATGGGCGCACACGATTTAAGTGATCAAACTGATGCTTTTTGTCTTTGATAACTACAGGTCGGAGCTTGGAGAGATAGGATCATTATTTGCACAGGGACATATGGACCTACGCCACCACTGATTAAAGCATTTTTAGACACTGGCGCTAAAGCTGTTATAAGTTCTTTAGCTCAGCCCCCAGAAGCACAGCTGACAGCAGTCCATGGATCTGCAGAGTTCAGTGTTTTTGAAAACGGGAAGTTTGAGATTGGAGAGGAAGAGGCCGAAGATGAAGTCGAAGATGAGGATGCTGAGCCTACCAGTCCGGTGAGTGACTGGGAAGATAGTGAAAACGGGGACCGGTCTACAGGTTTTTGGGATGACGATGAGGAAGAGGTGTCGCAATTTGTTTGTCAATTGTACGAGTCACTGTTTCGAGAGGGTGTGAGCGTGGATGTTGCTCTACGACAAGCTCTTGCCTCGCACCGGAAGTTGAGGTATTCATGCCATCTTCCCAGTATACACTAGATTGCTAACCAGATCTCATACAGGAAAATAAAGAAAATTGAAACAAAAATCGTAGGAAAATAGAAACGAGAATAACAAGGAAATAACAGGAAACATCCAATTTTGAGGCTTACAAACAGAGAAGAAGAGTGAAATGTTGTAACGGTGTTTGGCGTTAATGGTAGATATATGAGCTCAAATGTTCCAACTCTCTTGTTTCCAAATGTTTATTTCTGCTCTTATATGGTTATATGTTTGTTCCTTCAGTAAGTTCCCCACTGGTTTCTGCTTGTGTGAAAGAGTTTGAATTTTGTCGTTTTCACGACTCAACCTACAGAATAGACCTATGATGCATCTGGGATGCCAAGGTGGCGGCATTTAAGACATAGTGTAGTGCGTAATTGGTTTGAGATATTGTCACCGTGACATTCCAATTGTGGGTAAGTTTCTCTTCGACCTTAGTTAAGTTGTAAGGTCGTGGAGGGTTTAGGCGTTCCTTTCACAAACTGTACGTGGAAAAGAAATGCCAAAGAAAAAAGATTTAGATCGAGTTGACAAGGTGTCATCTCTAAAGAAAACCTAATTGAGCCTTGGACTCTTTTTTTTATCTTTTCTTAATCAAATGGACGGACCACCAATCTCGGAAAGAAAGAAAAAAGGCTTAGCCAAAATAGTAATTGTCATAATTTTTTATTTTGATTCATGATAATGAAAATTGATAGAAATGGTTCAAGAGTTTGTTCACAGTAAATAATTTTGGTTATTTCATGAAAAATATCAATATTTTCGTTAAAGTGTCATGTGACTTCCTTTTTAAAAGTATTTTTGTCAAAACAACCCCTTCACACTTAACAAGAATTCTGTAGATTTTTCACAGACCGACCAAAATGATGGACAAATTCAAAGACAACTACTATCGATTAATGATGGACAAATTCAAAGACAACTACTATCAATTTTCATTGTTAGGACCATTTTAACTAAACAGCCAAGAAAAAGCTAGCCAATTGTTATAAGAATTTTCACAGGGCTTTCTCCTATTCAATAATTTCAATCACCCAACTGAAAGAAATGATTTTGTCCCTTTAGCTTTTGAGTTTAATCAATTGCATATGCCCTTTATACAGTTCCACTCATGACTATTCAGCTGGGGCTGAGGGACAAAATGAATGAATCACATGCCCAACAGCATTTAACAATTGCATCCCTGTAGACCCGAGTGTAATCAATTGGTTAGAACGGTGTCTCTCTCGTATGCATTCAAGTTTCGACTTGCTTTTCTATAATTTAAATACTTCATTTGTATTCTTTTTATCCTCGCTATTGAATCAAAAGAAGTTAAACCTTCCAAGTAAAGCATAAAGAGGTGGGAGTTTTCTACCCTTCGTAAGAAAAGGTACCGAAACACTTTTTTTCAATCGATTACGAGCATCAATCAACCTTGATTGACGCACATATTTACGTTTAAACTAATTTTCTCGAAGACTTACTCTTTATTTTGACCAACCTATACTAATTTGTAATAACATTTCTTTGGACCCTACCATGAAAGTTAATTGGAGTTCCAGAGTCAAAAGGGTAAAAAAGTTAACCGGAGATTATGCATGTTTTTTACGACAACCACCAGGATAATATGGCAAGAGATCCTCTCTCTTTCAAAATCCAAGGATCAAGTGATTCGGACTTTTGAAATTTGATCCAACGATTAAAAATTATTATAGTTTTTAAAAGTTTTTACTAACTTATCTGTTTTTAGCACTTGAATCAAATTTTAAAAGCCAGATCATTTGATCCTTGGGCTTTGCAGGAAAAGATCCGAAGAGGATATCTTTCCGGATAATATGATGTCTTACCTAATTAAGAATTTTAGAGGGATGAAAGCAGAAGATGCCCCGACTTTAAAGCAATCCATCCTTCCCCTCAACTTTTCTTCACCCGCAAGCTTCTTCTTACATCACTCTTCACACCTTTTTTATAATAAAAAAACAAATAAATCATGCAGTATAAAGCCAGCAGCACAGCAGAAACCAACTTCCCTCAAACAAGTCCAATGGCTGCAGGAACAGCTCCGATCGCAGTAGGCACGCGAGGCACGGTTGGATCGCTTGTCAGGAGGGAGATCGAGTACTTCAGCAAGCTTGAGCTCGACCCGCATGGAAGCTCAAGCTCAATGAAGCCTCTGGGACAAATACTCGGCTTCACTTCTGGCGATAGCGGTGCTCATTGTAGCAAGTCTAGTTTCCGGATCTTGGTAATGACATGGAGGAGGAGGAAGAGGAGAGGCAGTAGCGGCAGCGGCATCGGCAGAGGGTTCTTGGCAAGCATGTGTTTTGCTGCTGAAGTTGCGGAAACCAATCGGCAAAACTGGATTCCTGGGTTTAATTACAAGATCCCTACGATGCATAGACACGGACACGGATACGAGGATACGACACGATACGACACGGGGACACGTCAAATTTCTAAAAACGAAGACACGATGTGTTTGGGATACGGTAATTAAAAATATATATAAATATATCTAAAATACTTTAAAATAAGCATTCAAATTTATTACTCAAATTTAAATTTATTTCAATAAACTCCAAATAGTTAGAAAGATAGTCCATCCAACAAGCAATTAGTCTTCAAACTTGAAAAATTAAAATGAACATCCAAACTAAAATTAAAAAAACAAAGTCTCATTCAACTTCCACATTCATGATGTCTCCTTTAGTAACTAAAGTAGTCTCCAATGACGGTTCATCCAGTAACTAAAGTAGTCTCCACATTCATGAAAGCATATACATAAATATTATAATCTAAATATCATGAAAGTACAATATTATATTATTTATAATACACAAAATATAAAATAATATTATATACAAAAAGCAATCAGATTGAACAGGTTTTCAAAGCAATCAGATTGAACAGAGGCTTTCTTTTAGCTTCGAATAAAAACAGAAACAGGTTGGGGCTTTTAGGTTCGAAAAAAAACAGAAAAGGGTTCTGCACAGATTGAGTTTCAAAATTAACAAAGTGAAAACGAAGTCGAAGGCTCTCACCAGCAGTTGCAGACGGAGACGATGGAGACGACGGATCAGTTGCAGACGGAAACGATAGAGACGACAGACAGACGGAGCAATTGCAGACAACAAGTCTGATTTCTGAGGTTCGAAATCGTTTTGGTTTTTAGTTAAACAATCGTTTCAGTTATCTAATTCGAATCAATCACGATTCTGTGCGGAATCCGTATCCTCTGATTTGGATTTTTTTTCCTGATTATCCTCTGATTTTGTTTGAAACGTATCCGAAAATTATGATACGCGTATCTCGACAGTATGATACGCGTATCTCATCAATAAAGAACGTATCCCTTCATTCTGATACGTATCGGGAGCGTATCCGTGCGTATTCTGTACGTATCCGTATCCCTGCGTGTCAGATACGGGATACGTTGAGTTTTCCCCGTGTCCATGCATCGTAGCAAGATCCTCAAGGATGACATGAACAACTTGAGCATTTGATTTCAGGCAAAATTCTCAAAAAGCACTTTTGACAATGCTTCTTTTTTATTTCTGTATCATTTTGTTACAGGACTGCATACATTCAATGAAACTCAAGACCCTCTCTTGCCAGGGTCACTGTCCATAGCTTTTCTTTCTTTCTTTTGCCGATTCTTGTGTAAATGATCATTTTGTTAGGATTATTCGGAGTGAGTTCCTTGGTTTGCACCCGACATTTAGTACATGTTATCCCCGAATATAGGGGAGGCGTTTGTCGCTAGGTATTTGATCAAACAAGATCGTCCATGTCCTATAGTTACTATCATAAAAATATCCTAAAGAGAGAAAGGGCTAAGCGAAGCAAAAAGATTGCAGCTGTGACGATATTTTAAGCCAATCAATTATTGTTGTTATGAAAGTTAAAATGTGTGATAGTGCGTGATTGACTTAAGATACTGTCACACTAACATTTCCGTTGTTAGATTATGAGAGAGAAACATGATATATTTTAAGAATAAAAAAAAAAGATGAAAAAACGCTTGTTATTTCAATCCTCTAATTCCTTTGGATGAGGTGCAAAGCACATTCTTCAGCTTGCACCTTGGTCCTAATTGCTATAGCTCTTTGTCTTCCCTTGCTCTTCTTATTGACTCAACGTGCCGGCCTCTGTTTCTCGATGCACCCTTGGCACCTTCTCCATCGTATTCTTGCAACGATAGGTGCCCGAGAGCGGTCACAACGTCACCCATCGAAGGCCGGCAATCAGCTTCCTCATTCAGACACATTGCAGCAATTGCAACAGCTTGGTTCAGACCCTTTGCCGGAAATCTGCCTCGAAGCAACGGGTCAGCCATCGACGCGTATCTCTTTCTGTCCTTAAGCATTGGCTTTGCCTGCATGATAGAAAATAGGATTGGTATTAAGGGTGCAAGGAACGTGTCGTCTTATATGACGAGAAATTCTCTGTGCATGGCGTCTTGTCTTTCTTAAAGACACTACATGTTAAGAAAACATAACGTCATCTCAAATTTCTTTAATGCGTCCCTTCTTTTTTAAAAAGACAGGACGTCCTACATAGAGCAGACTGCTTATATGATTCGATAAAGAGACAGTAACAAGTAACTTGGTAAAGGCTTTTGCTACTTGATGAATGTTCACATACCCAACTGACTAGGATCTGCTGTCCAACCGGTCTGCGCTCATCAATAGCTCTCCGTCCTGTGATCAACTCGAGAAGCACAACGCCAAAGCTGTAGACATCAGACCTAGTTGTCAGCTGTCCTGTTGAAGCATACTCTGGTGCACAATAGCCATAAGTCCCCATCACTCTAGTAGTCACATGGTCCTTGTCTCCGGTTGGACCTAACTTAGCAAGTCCAAAATCAGAAAGCTTAGGACAGAATTTTTCGTCTAGTATAATGTTTGAAGCTTTGAAGTCACGGTAAATCACTGGCGGACTGGCAGTCTCATGAAGGTACTCGAGCCCTTTAGCTGCTCCTTCAGCTATTTTCATCCTCGTATACCAATCAAGAGGCTCCATATTCGAATATACATCTTAAGAAAACAAAAAATCGGTTAGTTTATCTCCACATAAGAGCAAACATTTTCAAGATCCAAATAATTTTTGTGCATACCTAGAAGGTGATTCTCCAAAGATCCATTGACCATGAATTCATACACTAACATTCTCTGGTCTCCTTCTGCACAATAGCCAATAAGATCGACGAGGTTCGCGTGTTGAACCAAACTCAACATGATAACTTCAGAACAAAACTCTCTGCTCCCTTGCAATCCCTTCCTGTCAAGTTTCTTCACTGCCACAATCTGAAACCAATTTAATCGAAAACATAAATTGCAGGATCGTCGTCATACGCGCAAGAGAGAGGAGTAAGAGAGACATACTTGGTTAATGCTGTCCAAGTAACCTCTGTACACCTTCCCAAATCCACCTTCTCCCAGCAGAGAATCAGGATTGAAGTTATCAGTTGCAGCAGCTAGTTCCTCGTACGTAAAAAGCTGAGCAACTTTTTTCGCGTGTCCCGTCTTGAGTATCTCCTTCTGTAAATTCCTGCATTCGTTGCTACCTGCACATTGATCACATAGCCTATGTAATACATCATATTTCCAGTTTCTTTTTTCCTGCATAAAGTGTATGTTTCAACGTAAAATATGGTCGAAATTCGAAAACCTAGTCTAAATAAATTCCAGTTAGCAAACGAAAATTTGAACGGATTAATCACATTTTCACCTACCAAAATCTGCATTGCATTAAGACTAAAACAAAATGAGAAAATCAGTAGGGTTTTTTCGACCTGACTTAACCGAAAAAGTTGCTATAAGTGAGGTCAATCTCTTCAAACCACTCGAGTATTGCCTTCTTATTCTGGCCTTCCTCACAGATTCTTCCGGCTCCTCGTCCACCTTGCAACACGAGAAGCAAGTCATCCTGCTCTCCTCCCGCCCGAGCGCCTCTGCCACCAGCAGAACCGTCACTGATTCTGCAAGCCCTCAATGAATCCCACTGGCATGCATGAAAACGACGTCAGGAAATGCAGCAACGAATGTGAAGAAAAAGCTTTGAAGTTGAAAGTTCAAAACCAACATTGGTAATGACAACTAAGTTTATATATAAGAGTGGTAATCCTAGGTCATCTTCTTTTTTAAGGACACAGTTAGAACCATTGAGTTAGAGCTGTCTAATACAACAGACGCGCTCCTAAAACACAATTTTACCGATGCTGTTAAATTATGTGAACTAACTTCTACACTTTCGAGAAAAGTCAAACGAATTTACCATACCACGTCATTGTGCTGATATAATATTTCTACTCTAACCACTCAAACAAAACCACTTGTTTGGGTGTCTCTGTAATATATTATCATTGGTTGGATTTAATATTTAAAAATTATATAATTTATTCGAATTTGACGGGAAGTTTGACAAATTAATAGTATGGGCAAAGACACCACATATAACGCTTACCGCAATGACAAAAAGTAACAATGTTTATGCAATTTAGTGCAGATTCGATCTCCACTGATCTTCTTTTCCTTTAACATTTAATAGTTTAACTCACTAATACTATAAAAAGTTTCCACCAAATTGAAAGTCGAGAACGCAAAATGGAAGAAAGTACTAAGCTCGATGAAAATTGGTATGGGCCTTAGTTGATGGACTGCAATAGCAAAGCCCAATCAATTTATATATATTTTTCTTTAAATATAAGGCCCGAACCATTTAAAAGTGAAATAAAATCATAAAAGAGGAGAATTCCACGTGTATGAAAACAAGAGAGCCAGGCTATTGCCACGTGTCATTCAAACCGCTATGTCGACTTAGGCCATCTCCAACTGAAGGAGGGCCAAAATGCTCCCTTTAGCCTTATAGCCCTATAAGAAATTATATTTAATGAACAGTGTCAGACCATATTTTATATCATCTCCAATCGAAGGGGACAAAGGGCTATAGGCAAACATAGTTCTTTGACAAAAAATCATCTTTAACCGAGGGGGGCAAGGGCCCTAGTTCAAACATAATTTATTATTTTAATTGAAATAATATGGTTACTTAAATTAAATTACCATATTAAAATAAGATTTTCGGACATATTTTGAGTATCACTTGTCACCAAATGAATAAGCCTTCGTATTTCTTATCTTTATATAATCCTAATAATTTTTTAATAGGATTTCGAGTGACATGTGTCGCTAATATGAGTAAGTCTCCAAATTTCTTATCTTTATGCAATCTCAATAATTTTTCGGATAAGATTTCAAGTGACACATGTCGCTAAAATGAGCAACTCTCCAGATTTATTATCTTTATGTAATCTTAATCATCTTTCTGATAAGATTTCGAGTGTCACGTGTCGAGATATAATTGGTTGTGTAAATTTTAGATATGATTCTTATTTATGTGACATTTTTTTCCTTCAACCTCCAATGTTAATAAACTGGCTAGATATTAGGGTAGAATTTACACACCTCCAAACATCTTCATTTGTTTGAGAACTGCCCTTAACATTATCTTCTAATATCTATTTATAAGCCCTGCAAAGTGCTTCATCTTCTTTTCGGGTCCAAACCCTTCCTTTCATTGCAGATATGGTCATTTGAAAATTATTGAAAAAATTAAAGGAAAGATTATTGGAAGAGGTAAGATAATTGAATAAAATGAGGTAAGATAGTATGAAATTGTGAAAAGTATGTGAGAAATGGTGTAAGAATGACTTAGGTATTTATAGAAGAAAAAAAAATTAGATTTTTTTTTTAAATTCGTCAAAAGAAAAAAAATCAAATTCCAACGCTAACCTAACGCCAGCTAGCCATTGCTAGCTGGCGTCATGCTGATGTCAGGCAACTGTTGGCATTCAAATGGGTTAAGCTGGAGGGCTGGCAAAATGTCAAACTTAACATTCTGACACTGGAGGCCTGTTTGTTCTTGATCAACTCTTTGGCCGGTTCTCCCATTTTTGATTGGGTGAGAACTATATGAGCCTTTTAGCCTAACTCTCGATTAAAAATATCGTGTTAAAACGAGTTATTTTTAGCCGAATGACCCTTTGGCCGGGTCAATTCGACTGTCACGGTTAAGAACCTTCCTTCCCCAGAATGCTTCAGTTCAGTCATGGCGGGCTTCCGGTCCTTGAAATCCCTAATCCAAAACCCTAAAAAATCAAGAACCTTCGTCACCGCCACCGCCTCCTCCTCCTCCATCTCCGCCCCTCTTCACTACTCTCCTCTCTCCTACCCTCTCTCCCACCCCCTCGTCCGATTGCCGTCTCAGATTTCCAGTTCCTTCCTCTCTCCGCTTTCCAATTGGATCGTTCCTTTTCACGGACCGCTCTTCCTCTCTTTCCCTCCATGGAAGCTCTCGCAGTCCTCCACTCCGCTTTACATCGTCGGAAACGGCGTCGTTCTCAGAAAGATCGAAGCTTCATTGAACTTGAACCTGCTAGGGAGGAGACCGAGCTTCCCGCTCCCATTGGAAGTTGGGTCACTATCGCCGGCTCCGACGGTCGTGGATCGCCGTGTCGGGTTGAAAGAGGGCGCTGACGATTTCGTCAATTTGCCCAATTTGATCTCCATGAGTCGGTTGATTTCAGGTCCTTTCCTTGGATGGTAACAATTACTAATTTGGTTTTTCGGGAACAAAAATTGCTGCTTTTATGTTTTTGATTAATTTATTTATCTTTTGAAGTTTGAGAATTTGGAACTGGTATGCAGGATGATCACGAATGAATGGTACTCTTCTGCAATGGCGGGGTTGGTTATATCTGGGGCAACTGATTGGGTAAGTTATTTCGAAGCGTTTTTCGTAGAAATTGATATATGCTGGACATAGTTGCTTGTTACTGAGATTTTGACTGTGTTTTCACTCGTGATTTGAATGTATAGTTGGATGGATACATGGCTAGGAGGATGAAGATCAATTCTGTTGTTGGGTCCTATCTGGATCGCTGACAAGGTATAAGTGCTTTTCGGTTTTCAGTTCTTCCCAAAGTGGTGCTTTTTTATTCCTGTTTGCTTGTGGTTTGGGATATTGACGTGCCAATTGTGATTTCCTTGTGATGCAGGTTCTTATTGGATGCGTTGCTGTGGCCTTGGTATATAAGGGTCTTCTTCATCGTAAGTACCAAGTAGTCCTGTTTTTGTTTTGTGGGACTGGGATGGTGGTGCATGTATGCATAAGTATCCTTCGATACTGAAGATTGTGAAGATTAGGCTGTTGTTGTGGTTAATACAAGCACTGGCTCAGCACCTGCACATTGATTCACAGACTACAGACCATACTTTTCCTGTGTTTGCTTATTTTCTTTTGGTTTCTTAGTTTTATCTTTTGGTATATGAAGCCCTTAATCATTTTCTTTGACGATGTTGTGTGTTGGGAAAATAATTTGGCTTTCGTTTGATTTTGGGATTCTGAAGCTGGACTTGTTGGGCTCATTGTGTTCCGGGATGTTGGCCTTGTTGGTGGTGCAGTATATCAAAGAGCTAGTAGCTTGGGGTGGAAGGTGAGATCTTTGTTTCGTTGTCTTATCAATGTTTTGGCAAAATAATTAGGTTACTCATGTTGTTAAAATCTGATTTGACATTGTTTACTCTTTTCAGTGGAACAGTTGGTCCGACTTTTTCAACCTTGATGAAACCCGCCCCGAGAAGGTGGAACCTCTCTTTATTAGTAAGGTAATCTTTATTCTGTACTGAATATCACATAGTGCCGAAGACCAGAGATTGAGATAAACTTACTGTGATGCTTGCGATTTCTGTTTGATTGAGATAAAGGCCTTCTCTATTTCCAAACAATTAACAAATAGTACTGTTGACAGCTTAACACAGTCTTCCAGCTTATTTTGGTAGCGGCAGTTCTTCTTCAACCGGAGTTTGGAACACAAGAAACTGAGTCATACATCACATACCTGAGGTAACTTGACGCAGATATTACTTGTCTGTAGTTTGTTTTCCTTGATGTTATATATGCTCATAGAGCTCATTGTTCGTCTCAAATTGGTGCAGTTGGTTAGTTGCATCAACAACATTGGCTTCCACAGCAGCATACGGCGCCCAACACTTGAGGAGATCTGCATTGACCGCTCAGAAATCATAATTTAAGTAACACAGTAACTCTTTCAGCCTGCAACATCTTTGAGTTCTAATGCGCAGCATAAATCATAACTTATCAGTAAGAATTTTGACGAACAAGCTACTCATTTTTCACACTTTGGGAAAGCGATCGCACTCGCAGTTATCTGAGCTACAGACACAGATCGCGTAGAAGAACACGGCAACGGATGTCTTCTCGGTGAAGTTGTGAACAGTAGCAATGAGAGAGAACTGACCTCTACAGCCCTAGAGAAATTTTGGAAAAGAGAAATGTAACTGAGATACCGATGTCGGATTAAGGTTGTTGACTTCCAAATTATGTACAGTTTTTCGAAAAGCTTTTCAGCTTCAGAAGACTGCTTGCTATGCCATCATGCATCAAGCCACTAAGCTTACATATGGCGGCACCGTTCCTTGAATAATTGATTTTGTGGGAACTGTTATTGTCACTTCGGAACTTTTAATGGCGTAAATAAGAAATTACCCTTCTAGCATGCGATGACTTTTAGGTTGGGGTGACGATATTTAAAATTTTGAAAAAGGTTGCGTAAAAATTAAAAAAACTGTGACGGTATTTTGAATTAATTAAATATACGGTTGTTTAAGAAAAGGTTGCTCTAGGGGGCTTGTCCTCCATGGTATAGGACTAGTGTGAGCAAGGTACATAAGAGCAACTCCAGCTGAGGTTGGTTACTCGGGCGACAGGCGAGGACAAAGGGCCCGAGGGTCGGTGGAGAGAGGTTCAGCCGTGTGGAGGCCGAGCGACGGTGGGAGCCCGAGCAAAGGTGGGGTGGGGAGTCGACGGGCCTGTGGCCCGAGGGCTTTGCAATTTTTTATTTTTTTTGTGTCAGAGAGAGAGAGAGAGCTTTTGTAATTTTTTATTATTTAAACAAACAAAAAAAATTATTATTTTAATTGCTTATTGCCAGGGGGAGGGTTCCAAGGGTGGAGATGTAAATGACAATTACTGTTCATTAATGATAGTTACTATTCATTTAAGGCAGTTACTGTTCAATAGGGTGGATTGAATAGTAGATTGCCAGGGGGAGGGCTCCATGGGTGGAGTTGCTCTAAGAACACATGACAAGCCTTGTGTTTTTACTCCTTAAAAATTTAATGTTGCATCGGAGTAGATTTATTAAATTTTTAATCGTTTAATCTTAATTATTGTTTTTTTAATAAAAGAATCTGCGATTGGGGATTTTTTGTGACAGGTGAATGAGTGTACTTTTGAAGTTCTTTTTGAGTCTTATTTATAGGATGGTGCTGTTCATGAATTTACTTGTACTTCTCAAGCATTCTTTTAATTTTCAAATATCGAATCAAATCAATTAAAAAAAATAAAAACTAACAAAAATGGTTTGAAAACTTTGAGTTTTAACGATAAAGACAAAATAAAAAGTAGAATGAATAATATCATGATTGACTTTTTAAAAATGTAATTTTTCGTTAAAATTAACAATACCGAAATTTCTCGTCCACGTTCCCTTAGAAAAATCAAAGCATGTAAAGTAACAAAGGTGTGGAATAACAAATAAAGGGGTGGATATTTATAAGGTGGGGGCCCTATGCGTTTTGTAGGACCCAAAACGACCACATTGGTCTCGATCGTTTCGTTTCAGCCGGTTCGAACGACCGGGTGAGGTCGGTTAGCGATCGGCAGTTAAAAACCCTCACTCACTCTCTCCCTCCCTCCTTATTTGCGCGCTCTCTACAAAAACACTAGTAAAAGGGCTTCAAGCGAGACATCTCCTCTCCGACTCTGCAACCAGGTTAGGGTTTTTGTAATTCTGACGTTGTTTTGTAGAAATTAGGGCTTTCTCTTCCCTTCGTCCCTCTCCTCTTCCATCTTCATTCATCCAAATTGAAACGTCCGTCTGCGTAATTTCTGTTGGTTTAGAGTGAAATTCCGTTTTGCGGCCGAGAAAAGGTATGAACTTGAAGCTTCTGAATTCCCAATGTAACGCAATCGCGCGTTAATTGTCGGGGACTATGGTGGGTTTGGGTTGGTTTTCACGACGGTCCCTGAAAATTAACTAAATTCGATTTTAGCCCACTTCCACAGTAAGTCTAGTTCAATTGAAATTTTTTATTGGAGAAGTTAGCTTCAGGAACACTTCTTATTGCAGTAGGAAACTGTAGTGTGTTTAATCTTTACTCTTTATTTTATCAAATTAATTTAGGGGTGTCCTCGACTGTAAATTAGGTTAGAACTTTGAAGGAGTCTGGATTTTTTGCATAATTAGTGTTTTTTCAATAGTGGGTTTTGGTAAAATGACCGAAAAATCTGAACTTTTGTGTTTCTGACATGGAAATTGTGATGAAGTTGTAGGTGTGACAGAGATGGATACAGAGCAATGGATGGGGGAGTTTGTTAAGAAGCTCCAGGTTGAAGATCAGGAGAAGTTGGAGCTGGCTTATGGTGTTGAAATCGAAGCAGAGGCAGTGTGTGTTGCTTTCCGAATCATCATGCAATACCCCGATGGTTAGTTGATTGGTACCGCTATTCTTTTCTCAATCGTTAGTGTGAAAATGCCATGGTGGTTAAGTTTTCATCGTGCTTTTTCTTGTTTATGATGTTCAGTTTTTCAGTTCGATAGTAGTGGAGAATTTGATGACACCCAGAAGGAAATTTTGCAAAATAAGGTTGTTGGGCTTTTAAAGGAAGCTTGTGCAAAATTGAGGGATAAATTTGAGTACTCTAGACAAGAAGAGGATGATCTAGATGTCGGTGAGTACCAGTTGCGTCGCACACTTGTTGAGTTAAACGAAATCAAGAAAGAAAGAGATCCATCTACACAAAAGTGGAGCGATCGTGTAAGCTACACTTATTAGTTACGAGCAACATTGGTATATTTCTCTTCTTGTTTTTGGGTATGCACTGTTTTCCTGAGAAATATGTAATGTTGGGACGTTCAGGTGAAAAAGGAACATGAAGAATTGAAGGGTATGTGGAACCAGTTGGAGACGAACTGGGTGCAAGTAAAAACTTCACGGCAGAGATGTGACATCAGAGCTCGAGAGGCGCTTTTGTTGGAAAGGATGCACGAAAGGTTGGCTTTACGTATAAATGAGGCAAGATTAAAGACGGTGAACAGTTTCTCTGGGTCTGGGATGTTGCAATGGATTGATGACCATGTGACTGAGCTTTTATATACAACTCGCAAAGATTTTAAGCATGAGCTAACCGTTAGCCCGCACGTTGTTGCGAAGGTGGATATATCTTTTATTTACTCCTATGCTAGACTTTTGCTTCCTTTACCGACTATACGTCATGACAATCTAGGTGATTGGCCTTTTTATTCTTATTAGAAATTGAAAAGTGATTCAATTTCGTGGTCTCAATCGTTTTTGCATGATATGCAGGCAGCAAGCCCCTTGATTGATGCTCCACCACCATTGTCGCTTTCTGAACCAACACTGCCTCAGAACCTTGAACAAAGAATTGCTAAGAGGGTAATTGGACAGGAACACGTTCTACTTGCAGTAACTGCTGCTCTATCAAGGCAGAGGCCTCAGCGACGCCCTATTGGATCCTTCCTCTTCATGTGCGGCTCTGGTTATGGGAGGACAGAAATGGCAAAATCTTTGGCCGGACTACTTTTTGATAACAAAGACATGATAGCAGAGTTTGACCTGGCAAAATACTCAGGTCCAAATTCTTTCTCACGCCTCATTGGTCTTCTTTCTAGGTAATTTGTTAATTGAGTGGTGCGTTCCTACATTTTTTTTTTTTGTTTCAGGCTGAAAATTTTCCTAAGCTTATTTTTACATTATATCTGGACTTTTGCTCCTGTAGTTACATTGAGTCAGGCATGAAGAGGGAGCGCTCAGAGGCTGTTAAGAAGAGGCCTATAGGTCTCATTTTGTTTGACAATGTTGACAAGGCTCATGGATCTATTATTGACATTCTGACCGAGATTATAGGTTTTGGTCATCTAATAGATGGTCAGGGGAGCGTCGTTGACTTCACTAAAACATTGATAATCATGACAACGAATATTGGATGTGATAAATACTGGCCATGGAATTGCAAATGTGCAGACGAAGTTCAGAAGTTCCCCTTAAAAGAAGGATTATATGATGATGCATGGGAAACAAAACACAATTCCTGCTATCTTTCTCTTTTGAGGGAGGTAAATTTTGGAAGCATCATATCTATATTATTTTGTTGAAAGGCAACCGTTATCATATTATTACCAAATCACCTTTGCATCTTCTCTTTCGCAGGCAAAACAGCATTTCAGACCTCAATTGCTTGAATATGTGGATGATGTGATTGGAATTAGGTCTCTATCCGTTCAGCAGTTGAAGGCGGTTGCTAGGCTCCAGTTAAGGGACATTGCCAGCTGCATGACACAGAAGGGCCTCATTATATACCCATCTGAAGCTGCATTAGATATTATTGTCCAGAGGTCAACTTGGCTTGGAGATAGAATCGTATGTCTTTCATAATGATGATCTTTCTTACTGGAACTGGGAAAACCGTAGAAAAAGATAACTTTTTATATTAAAAAAGGGAACAAACAGCTAGGTTAATCAGGTAAAACTAGTTCATATGCATTGTGGAGAACCGGAAAGGAGTCATTTTCCTCCAATCTTGTAGATTTCTCATACCCATATTAACACTGAATAAAGCTTGCTCCTTTGTACATTAGGAAAAAACCATGCTTTCCAAGATAGTTATAATAAACATTATATGAGAAAAGTCATTCGAGTAAGTCAACGGAAATGAGTACTCTTAATTTTTCCTTGATTTATCTTACTTCAGAAATGTCTATTAAAATGAACCATGGATATTCATACATTTCATATAATACCAATATTGCATAAAATGCGGATATGCGTCTGAGTTGTCTCTGCTTTCTTTTAAATATAATTAGCAAACAGATCTTTTACGAATTATGTGCAACATTGATCAAACGCATGACAATAAGCTGTTTTTTTTTTGTTTTTTTTATAGTAATTGTGCTGTCGTGTATAATATTGATTGCTTCCGTTGTTGTAACAGAGAGGTGGAGAGAGAATAAGGATGTGGCTTGAAGAGAACTTGGTTCCGCTGCTGTTTGAGAAGCTTGCTAAGAACATTTTAAATGAGATGTCTATCATATATATTGAAGCCTCGGTGGAGACAAACCAATTGTCCTACAGCTGGGCCAATTGTGTACATTCACTGGAAGAACAAGATGTTAACCAATTAGTATCTTTAAGGGATTTGAGATTGATGTATCGCAAAGAGAAAGAACGAGCAAAGAATGTCTATGTTCTAAGAAAACTTCACAACAGATTAATCGCAGGTGCAAATGCTGAACTGGGTTATACTACTGCTGTTGTTCAAGAGCTGGTTAATACAATTCAGGATCTAGTTACAATCCCCAGCAGTCTCAAGTCTTTGCTCGACAATCCTAAAATGGTACGTAATTTGGTTTTTGTTTGGCACTCGCTCTTTCTGAATGGTTATTAAGTTGTTAACTAAGTTGAACATGAGTGCATTTATACAATGGTTCCACTATTCGTGACTTCTTTTAGGCGGCGGAGGCAGCCTTGAACGAGGACGAGGTTAGGCAGAACAAGAGGGCTAAAACATAGAAGCAACGATTGAGTTGCTCGGAGATTGAATTACGAAAGTTTTGATCGAGCAGCTTATTGTATGAAGAAGCCGGAAATATGACCCTTTACCCTTCTTTAGAATGCAATCTGCTGACTTGCATTTTCGGGTTCAAATCTTCGGACGACATGAATCTTGCCGCGCCTCCTTTCTCAAAAGGACTTGGCATAGACAGGACCAGCTGCCCGGAGTCCTGAGCTTTTTACTGCGCAAAGCTGACTCAAGTTTCAAGCAGATGTAAATTACTAACTTATCAGAATAACCAAAGAGTGATTTTTGGGCCACACACAAGAACTTTTTATGGAGTTTCACATTTTTCGTTTATGAGATCGTAGATTTTAGCTTCAGTGTAAATATTTAACTCGATCGACATTACTGTAAATCTGTATTTACCCTCGGTAGGGGTCGACTCCAACCCGATCGAATGCATGTAGTTACTATGTAATGCACTCGTCGTGAAATGAACCATGGTAACGTAGAAATTCGTTGTGTTGGACGCATGTCCTTCGCAAAAAGGACAGATTTTTTTTTTTTTTAACAAACGATATTATCTACACGAAGTAGTGGGAGAATAGGCTAAGCTCACAATGAGCTAACAATAATATGGTTTAAATTCACCTTTGGCGAGAATCGAACCTGAAATCTCTTACTTACAAGTAAAGAAGAATATCACTAGATCGTAGTACTAAGTGGTATAAATAGTACAAATGGATTTTGTACCAATAATTTTAATAATGATTTGATTACTTATTGACATTTTTGCCCTTGATTCGTTTTTTCAATCTCTTACCTACGAAGAAAAATACAATAGACTGTCGCACTAACAAATGAAAAAGCCATACCAATAAAAAAAAAAAAAAACCATCTCCTTCCTCGCCGAGTTCTTACTGCGGCAATGCAGCTTCAACTTCATTCCACCGATCTTGATTCACCGAAAACTTCTCCTTCATCTGCCCGATAACCTCCCTTGCCTCCGCCACCTTCGAAACCTTCACCAGTCCGTCCACGAGCAACTTCATGGTTCCAAAATTGGGAACCCAATTCTGCTCAATGCTCTCCTTGGCAAACTGCAATGCACTCTCAAACTCCCCACCTTTGCACAGGAAATACACAAGAGTGAAGTAGCAGTTGGCATCTGCCTTAAATCCGCGGTTCACCATGTTGGTGAACGTCTTCTTCGCCTCGTCCAAGTTCCCTTCCTTGCAAAACCCATGAATCAGATGGCAAAATGTGACTGCATTCGGCTTCATCCCCCTCGAAAGCATCCCATCCAGCAACGCTTTTGCCTCGCCAGACTTCCTCAATTTGCACAAACTCTTGATCCTAATGTTGTAAGTGGAAAGTCCGGGCTGAAACCCGTGCTTCTCCATCAAATTCATCACCTTCCCAACGTCTTCAAACTTCATTTCGGTGTAAAACCCGGTGAGCAAATGCCCGAAAGTGTCGGCATCCGGCTTCACATTCTTCCTCTCCATCTCCGCCAGCACCGAGTAGGAGGAGCTGGTGGTGCCCGCCTCCGATAACGCCTTGATCACGTAATTGTAAGTCTCCAAATCGGGCTGGATCCTGTAAATCTTCGGGAATTCGAGAAAAACCCGGTTCACCTCCTTGTAATTCCTGGCGAATATACAGGCGAGCAGCAACGCATTGAGCGTCTTGACGTTCCGAGGGATGCCCAATTCCTCGCAGCGCTCAAAGGTGCGGACGGCGTGGTCGGGCATGTCGGCCTGACCGTAGAGGATGATGGCGTGGGAGGCGAAGCGCTGCGTTTTGAGGTCGGGCCGGGAGGCGAAGAGGTCGTCGAGGAACTGGCGGATGAAGTCGTAGTGGTTGTCGTCGCGCAGGCGGTTGATGGCGACGGAGAAGGCGATGCGATCGAGGTGGGATTCGGGGGTTAGGGAGGCGGATTTGCAGATTTCGAGGATTCTGGAGGGGTCTTTCTCGGATTTGAGGAGGGCGATGGCGGTTCTAGTTTTGTCCTTGGAGGAGAGTGGGGCCGCCGTGGAGAGGTGGCGGGCGTGGGGGGTGAGGGCGGCGTGGCGAAGGCGAGATAGAAGAGACATGGCTTGTAGAGAGGGAGAAGTCGGGGCTGGCGTTAGGGTTTTGCAGAGGGATTAGGGGAAGGGGGTGACACTGACAGGAGTCGGACAGTGAGTGAGAAAATAGTACGTCATGAAAAAATAAATAAAAAAAAAGTGAAAAAATAGATATTGGGGTTAAGGGGTTTTGAACCCGACGTGAATCGAACACGCAACCTTCTGATCTGGAGTCAGACGCGCTACCATTGCGCCACGGATCCCCGGCTGATTGTTTCCGACATACCATGAAATTTATAACGGGTAGGATTCTCTCTCCTCTTCAGTTCCCTCTCCTTCTCTTCTTTCTCCTCTTATTTGAACGGTTAAGACTAAGTCACATTAACATATTGTGCTGACTTTTTTTATAGAGACAAAAAAAAATGTGAGAAGAGGGAATCAGGAGGGGAGAAAATATCTCTAAAGGCATAAAAAGAAGTGTGAGAAGAGGGGGAGAGTGGAGGGGATTAGAAGAGGAGAAACTATTACTCTCATTTATAAACCTTAACCTTTAGGTAGCAGGGATTGTACGCCACGGGTTAAAAAAAATTGAAAAAAAAAATCAAACTGAATGCTGAAGCGAAGCCAAAAAAATAAAAAACTGAAATAAATCATATTTGGTTTCGATTTTAGGGTTCAAAAACCAAACTAAAACGAAAACCCCCTTAAAACGACGATGTTTTATGTGTTAAACTTAACCTTGACTATACAACCCCCTTCCAAACTTGATACCCAAACCTAGTTACCCTCCTTACGCTCTACAGAACGAACCCTCCTCTTGTCGATACCACACCTAACATGACACATCCTCCTGTCGACGTCGCACCTAACATAACCCTCCTCCTCCTCTCGACGTCGCACTTGACGCCTCTCACACCTCGTTTGCCATCTCCTCACCCACACCGAACAAAACACCTCCTCCTCTCAATGTCACAATTAAGCTAACTATAAGAGGTTTACTTATCGTTAACTTAATTGTGCTCTATGAACATTGATTATATTGCTAGTAAAGTAGGAACTCAAAAGCACAAGGTGTCGAATCAAACAAAATAAAATCACAAAAAAGTAGGTCACAATCGACACCACTATTATTACATATCATGTAAACACATGGGGCCGCGGCTGGCCTCTTAATTCTAATTTTATATAGTGGGTCTTCGGAATGTGACAGCATCAAGGGGATTTGCAACCTTCAACAACCACGTATAAGTAGATCATACCATATGTCTTGTTTTTCAAATTAATAATTTACATTTTTCGTATTTATAAAGAATTGCAAGAAAAAAAAGGCATCCACATGTCACATGTGGGGATAGGACACATGTGTATTGAAATAATTTATTCTATTTTTATGCTTTTACTAACACGTAAAAAGCTTACTCCAATTTTTTATTTCTTATGTGGTTGATAACACTTGTATTGAAATATCTCATGAATAAAAATATCGGTACGTTAATTTGTAAAATATCGATAGATATATTGATATCAGTTGTTTTAATAGAAATGATGGAAATTTAAAATGAAATTTTATTGAATATAAATATTGGTTTAAACAAAATACAAGAGTTTTCTTGATATTTAACTAATATGTCAAAAATCGACAAAATATGTCGATTTTAACCAAAATTTAAGAGTTTCTTCTATTTTGAGTGAAGTTTCAACCCCCTTTTTCCATATCTTTATTTGATTTTTCTAATCTTTCTAGAAAATATTTACCGTATCGAAGAAATATAAAACATTGTTAACACATGTGTATTAAAATCATTTTAATTATTTGACTTCTTTTACTAACACTTGTTGGGAGGTGGATTGTTTGCCCTCCCATTTCCATACTCTTCCTATCCCCTTCTGTTTTTGTCATCACGGTTAAGCCATATCAACATTTTATATTAATTTTTTTATAAAAATAATAAAACAAAAAGTAATGGGAATATAAAATGTTGACGTGACTTAACCGTTACCACACAAAACATGAGGGGATGGAAAGAATATGAAAATGGGAGGGCAGACAATCCACCTCTGTCTTGTTGATAATTCTTTGTTCTACGTAAATATAACGTAATTGTAAACAAAATTGAAGATAAGATCAAAATTAAACTAAAATATAAGTATTCAGTGTCATTGACCCATAATCCATCTACTAATAAATAAAATTAGGTAGCAAGTCGCTTCAATATGTTGAAGGACTAACATGTAATTGGTGGCATGATCGATATCCAAGTATACATATGGCATATATATATATATATATATATCTACTTACGTCCTTGAAGCTAGAGTCCAACAAGTTATTGTGTAGATGATATCGATGTCAAAGTCATGAAAGGGAAGGCAAAACATTCGTCACGTACTTTTCTGCGCATTCGCCGATTAATTCATACCCAAGAAACGGACATTATTCCAAACCCATTTCCTTTTCACCTTTCTCATTTTTCTTCTTTATCATCTATATGCTTTAATATTGTCCATTTTTCTAATTAATTTTAAAAAATAAATCGTTACCAAATTGGTTATAAAATACTATTGGCAATCTGATAATGCTAATCTTGTTGAAGTATCAAGGAGGGGCTAGTGGTGGAGTGGAAATTAAGCAAATCTCTTATTGAAGTATCGAACTTAAACATAAATATACGTAGAACTTGAAACATGATGTTCAAAGTCGACTTTAAGATAGTAAGATTTTGGGGGCTTGTCCAAAACTTGAGCTAAGGCCCTTAGGGCGCGTTTGTTTGCCCTCGTTAAAGTTCACCGGACTGGACAAAACTAAGGGTTAGTCCAGTCCCATATTTGTTCCCAACAAGGATTAGCTTTAGTGAGACAAGCTCTCACTCGCCACAACTAAAGGCAAGGCTATCTGGTCTTAACGAGTACCCCCGAGAACCATGTGACTAGCTAAGACCATCATCTCTCTCATCCTTATCATGCTCGATGACTACTCATGGCCACTCATTGTGACCTCCGACCACACACTGCCGTTAACTTTCCGATTCGACTATCTCTTTCAAATACGTTTCACAACCAATTTTCACATAAAAAATATACCAAATTGAACCTGGGAGTGAGGGGATTCCGTTTCTACAAGTGGTCGGAGGTGGCCGAAAATTAGCCCGAAGGTCTCGGCATGTTTTGGTTTCTTCGAATCCATGACAGATTCGAGCATGCAAAGCTTCGATCTGTGTCCAGGAATGGAAAGTAGTTTGTTGGTGGTGCAAACCTCATCCAATTCAACAAGGGTTGGCCGGAAAACACGATGGAAAACCTGCAACTCCTCGGAAAAAATGGAGATGTGAGGTTTCGTCGAATAACACACAGCTAAAGCGAGGGAGAGAGGAGAGAGAGACTGGAATCGAGAGGGACTTGGACGGAAAAAAGAGAGAGATATAGACTGTTATTGAGATGTCTAATCTGGGAGAAGGAAGGGTGGGACGGAGAATGGAGAAAAAGAGGGAGAGAAATACGGAAAGAGTGACGGCGAAGGAAGGAAAAGAGGGAGAAAAATATAGGATAATAATAAAATATTAATATTTATTAATTAAATAATATAATATTTATTAATTAAATAATACAATATAAGCTATTTCAACTTAGTCTATTTTAAGCCAGTTTAGCTTAATCCCTCAAGCTAGTCAAATCCGAAATAATCCGGTGCAACAAACACATCCTTAAGGAACAACACGTCTTGAGACTTTGCCCGTTGATAGGTGGGATTCAAATCCACAATGCGGGTAGAAGCTAATTAGTGATTTGAGTATGTAATCATTGTACGGTAACATTTTTTGTGTTTATTATATAAAGTGTCTTATTAAAGACCCTCTAAAATCAAGAATATTGTGCTGTTGAATTGGTCTGTGTAGTGAAACAAAAACCAGCTCAAAACAGTGTCTCTCTCAATTATAAGTGAAGAGATTAATTATAACAACGTTAATAATTTAATATCATACCTAAATAAAGGCAAGATTTACATTGCATGGAGATAATTTACATTCGGAAATTGACTTACGGAATTGGCGGAAACCAACCACACCGCGAAACCTGCCACGCCACGTAGTCCAGGCAAAGAAACTTCGCGTGACCCTTGATGTGAAATTAGTATAATTTAGCTGACCAATCAACGGTTGTCTGGAATGGGACATGGGGATCCCACCGCATCAGCGAATCTGCTATCCGCATCTACTCACTTGCATCACGTGGTTATCAGCTCAGCTACGTTTGTTTTTTCAAATTTTAAGCTATTTCCCAAGTTTAGGCGCCCCATGGTTAAATTTCTTTGCCGGCCAATGAGGATTATCTTCGGATCATTTTTATGAGGATTTCGAAAATTCTTCAATCATATTATTTATCGTATATCGTGTAATCAGTTTTTGTCAAGTATTATTTATATTTAATTTTAAATAAAAAAATTTATAATGATTTCTGAGTTCACGATATACGATGAACGGATGTAATTGAAAGATTCCCGAGACTCTCACAAAGAAGATCCGGCGAAGATCTTCATTCAACTCCAACATATATGCCCATCTTATTTGAATTTGGACTAAGTTGAAATAAAAATTATGAAATTTTTGTTGAAATAATTAGAAAGAATTTGAAAATTTTGTGTAGATCAAAAGCGAAATTGATCGACCAACTCAAATAGGAATTATTTGTAAAACTAAATCAATTGATCTTGGGGTGTGATGTCCACACACCCTATTTTACTTTTCACACACTTTTTTAATTTTCGACTATCGAATAAGATGAATTGAAGAGGATCAACGAACAAAAATTATTAAAGGTGTGTGAAAAATAAAATAAGGTATATGGATAGCATACTCCTTGATCTTGATATTTTATTTTATCGACTTTGTATGCTATCATTTTCACATGGAGGCTTTCATATACAATTTTCTTTGTGTATTTAACCTATTTATTTATTAAAAAATTTAAACCATACATTTTGGATTGGTAATAATAAAAGAAAAATGGTAACTTGTGGGACTGGGTGTATACGTTGTCTTTTCTTTTGGGCATACATTTAATGCAATTTTTTTTTTCTCAAAACAATAATCTAAACGAGTTCTTAAGTTTTAAATTATTGTAACTTATGAAAACATAATCAAATTCGAATGCAAGTGAGAGACTCGTTGCTCTGATCGATTGACATGATTAACATGTACATAAACTTTTATTTCACACGTTTGTACATACAGTAAAATAATTATACATTTTAACTCACATAGAAGAAAAAGTGTAAATTACTTTTAATTAATTGACCTGATTCACGTCGATATTTGCGACAAAAAAAATCAAACAAAGAGACAAGTAACTCCTCGTGAATAGGTTTCGTTTTCCCATAATTTAGGACAGAAAGGAGCAGTCTCATTTTTTCAACGTCCCTGATTGGGCAGTCCGCATAATAAAACACAAATAAGCTACCGCCAGAAAATTGCGAGAAACAAAAAATTAAAGAAAGCGCAGAAAGAGACAGAAAGGATAAGAGGGGGCGGAAATTGATCGTCTTCGAATCTTAATCAATCAAATTAGAAATTTGTATCGTTGAAATTTGATTTAACGGTTGAAATTATTATAATTTTTAAAATAAATTATTATTTGTAATCGTTAAATCAAATTTTAACGGTTTAAATTCTTTAATTTGATGATTAAAAGGAAAAGAACTGAAGAAGATTATTTTTCAGGGCAGCCATAGTAATAAGAGGGAGGGAGGGAGAGAGAGAGAGAGAGAGAGAGAGAGAGAGAGAGAGAGAGAGAGAGCGCAACTTTACAACCACCACCGCTTTCAACGTAATTGAATTATTTTGGAGAGTGAGAGTCGTCAGCGTGGAAGCTTAGGTGAGAGACGCCGAAATCCCCAGAAAGCCCTCGCCCTCTCCGTCTCTCTTGGACCGTCTGGTAGGGGCAGTACTGGTAGAGTACTCTTCCCTCCATCTTCCTCTCTCTCTCTGAGCTGAGCCGTGCCGTTTTACGACTTGAGTTTCTTCTGCTCTACGCTTCTCAAGCGTTTTGACCTTGGCTCACTCTCTGAGCTTCTCGCGCTCTCGGAGGAGCCCCGCTGCAAAATGACGAGAATGCCACTGCCATTGTTGAGCTCTGCTCCCATGGAGGCCGTCTCCATGCTCTTCAATTGGTGGGACGAGATCAACGAGTCCTCCCGGTGGCAGGACGGCTTGTTCTACGCTCTCTGCGCCTCCTACGCCCTCGTCTCTTCCGTCGCTCTGGTCTCTCTCTTTCTCTCTCTAACTTTCTATCTCTCTCTAACTTCATGTGTTTAGTGCATCTGATTCGATTTCATGTTTCTTAGTGGTTAATTAATTGCTGATTTTCTATGAATTCGAGTAACGTTTTGAGATCGGAGCTCTCAGTTAACCGAAAATTATATGATTATCCCAAAATTTCATCAAACAGTTATTGATTGCAACACATGAGTCAGTGGCGCAAGGAGGTGCGGCCGCACCTCCGGTCGCCGGAATCCGTTCCTATTCAGTTCAAATTTGGATTAATCGAGTGCGAAAAGCTGTCTCCGTTGATGCACGAAAGTAGCAGGATTCAGTCCATTTCACAAGTTACTAAAATTCTAGGTGTTCATAGAGAAATTTGTGAAATGGTGCTAAGTAGAGTGATTGTGTTTGTGATGCACAGTTTCAACTAATAAGGATTGAATTGAGAGTGCCAGAATACGGGTGGACGACGCAGAAGGTTTTTCATCTCATGAACTTCATTGTTAACGGAGGTGATTCCCGGTGCCTTACTGCCTTTCGGAGGCTCTCTTGGTATTATTTCCCTTTGATTGTGAATTTGAATTGTTTTGGTGTTGATGCTGATGTTGCAGTACGAGCAATTGTTTTCGGATTTCACAGTCAAGTGTTTCAGTTGCACCCGAGGGTTAGTCTCCTGTAGTTTCAATCACTTCACATCGTAAACCTACCACCCCTGTATGCTACTTGACACTTGTAATCGCTTTTGAAATGTATACTAAAATTTGGCAGCTGGGTCTTGAACCAGGTACTAATATTGGCCTTGTTGGATCTTCCTGGACTGCTATTTTTCTCTACGTACACACTTCTTGTCCTCTTTTGGGCGGAGATTTATCACCAGGTAAAAGCATGTTCTTAAATCTTTGCATGCTATTGGTATCTGTTTTCTGTTATTTGTAGGCCAGACTTCAATTCTACCGAGATGTACAAACGTTGAGTGCGGTTGTTTCTTTTAATGAATTTGGACTTCTGACTTCTTTTCTTACCATCATTGAACAGGCAAGAAGTTTACCAACTGATAAGCTGAGGATTGTTTATGTATCAGTCAACGCTATCATGTACTTTATACAGGTGCACTTCATTTCCCCTTTCTTCATGCTTAATTCATTGCGTGGTTTCTCTAGAGAACATAACATAACCTGTTTTGTATACAACCTTGCCACTACTGAGAGTATTACTTACATAAGCAGCTGGGTCACCTTCCAATTATTCGTTCTTTGCTTATCTTTTTGATCTTAGGTTTCTTTAAACCGTATAATTATTAGCTTTTAAACCGTATAATTATTAGCATCATCCTGCATGTTCTTTCTCAAGAAGTTTTTTGGGAAAAAGTTCTACAACTGTTAAAAGAGTAGGGTTGGCCCTCCTAGGTTGTTTTTTTCACCCATTTTGTTGCTAGGTTTCATAGAAGAAAGTTATCTTTCGGGTTTTCCTGTTTGATGTACAATTTGTAGTGTTTTGTAACCTGGAATGGCACATAATTGTTCATATTTAACTTCCTGTATTAGATACAAATTTTAAATTACCTTATGAATAATGTGGTTTTGTCTTCAGGTTTGCATCTGGATATACCTCTGGATAGACGACAACAGTGTCGTTGAGCTCATTGGAAAGATATTCATTGCAGGTAAGGCCTGTTCCGAGTCATGCTATAGGTTTCACAAGGCCCCTGTAATTGAGAATGACTTTTTTGGCATCTCATAGTCTTATGGATCTGGTCATCGCTTCTCTTGTTTAATAAGCATACTCATTATATTGTACCTATTTTGTTCCAGTTGTGTCATTTGTGGCTGCACTAGGCTTCTTGATATACGGAGGAAGGTTAGTGTTCTGCATCGTATTTAAAGTATATGGAGCTTTGTCTGTTCTGTGTTTGTGCCCATGCATTTGTAATGGGTGGATTATTATCAACAATTTGTTCAGGTTATTTTTCATGCTGAGACGCTTCCCCATTGAATCTAAAGGGAGAAGGAAGAAACTTCATGAGGTTTGTGTCTTGCGTTACATTTCGTCTATCAGATTAGAAGACCTGATTGCTAAATTGATGGCATAGAATCTTCTTGGCTAGATTTATTCACTGCTTTGTTGTGTAATTTTGTTTTGCAAAGTTTACTGTTCAGAATACAACACACAACAATGTCAACAAAGCACATAAATGGGAGCATTTTGTACTATCTTGATGTAGTACCATCATAATTGCTTGCAAATATTTTTTGTTCGTAAAATCTCCCTTAATGCATTGTGAGTTTCATGTAGATCAAGTTTTTGGGTTCTGAAAGCCAGAGAAAATATGGGCGAACAATTTGTTCTGTTAAAACTAGTTATATTGACTAACAAGTTGTTGACATTGCAGGTCGGATCGGTTACAGCCATATGTTTCACCTGCTTTCTCATAAGATGCTTTGTGGTAAGGTTCAAACCATTCCAACGCAGTAGTGATTTGAAGAACCATTATCTTGCATTCTTATAGAATAGTTAACATTCCAGATTACTTACGCAATTTACTCCCCAAAACGAAAACCCAAAAGAGCTATAAAATTTCTTCATTAGTTGCTCTAGGACTCATCTGAGGCTACAGGGGTTGGATTAACATTTCTGATTCAAGTATCGTCTTATGAACTTTGACCCAAATGATGATCGTCGTAGGACTACTGCTTTCTTGTTTTGCTTTATGAGGTCGTGCTTTCATCCTCGTATATTAAGTTTGCTGGGAGTTTCATCAACTTGGTTCAAAATGTAGGTTGTCCTATCGGCTTTTGATGCAGACGCATCACTTGATGTTTTGGATCATCCGGTTTTGAACGTGATATACTACATGGTAGTCTACTAAGCTTCGTTTATTTACAGAGCTAATTTTCCTTTCTTATTCTTCAAACTCTTCTATTTTTCGCCTTTTAAATTTGAACCATCTGTCCTCTGCAGCTGGTTGAGATCCTGCCTTCAGCACTAGTCCTTTACATCTTGCGCAAACTGCCCCCCAAGAGGGTATCGGCTCAGCATCATCCGATCCGTTAGCACAATTCACCCTTATTCTTTATGTTATTTTTGCTCCCCTAGAATTATTCTTTACGGATTTGGAGTTTGGTGCAAATGAAAATGAGCGAAAGCCAGAAAAACAGTCCAGATGTAGAATTCCGGCGTGGCTCATGCTGCCGGCATTTTTTTAGACGTATGTATATTACACAGCTCTCTAGAGCTAGCCAAGGGAAGATAATTGAATCAATTCCATGGTTATTTTGACAGTTAGTAGTTTATTCGATCGACGTTGTGACAGAAAGGAAATGTTCATGTAATTTTATTGTTGTAGGTTGTGTTTTTATTTGTTTTTAGGGTACACTTACACATCATGTTGAAGCTCAAGTGATTTGTTTTCTTAGCCCCCAGTAGACAATTGATGTGAAATAATATAAGCAGATCATTTTTTTTTTATCTTGGATTCTTGCTATGTTTTTGATAAACTACCACCACTAATTGCATATGATTGACGTCTTGGCTCATTTGGAATTGCTTCTGAAATAACGTCAAGTGTTTTGTCAATCAAAGGTGCTTATCATGGTATTTGGCATAAAAACGCCTACATTGGGCACTTCCACGTGCCTTTTCATGACGCACTTAATCTCAACATGGTTATAGCAAAAACGCTTATGAACAGAAGCACTTCATGTAGTAGCAACCACGAACGACCTCGTAGTAACGGGAGAATAAAATGTAGTATAAGATGTGCATATTATCGAAGAAACTATATTAGATCGCAACTACAGAGAAAAGAGACTTGATTGCACATTGACGAGCTTTCAACTGTAACAAGATACAAAAGAAAAAGCAATTAGCATATCATTGAAGATCTTTCTATATATTACAGAGCCGAAAATCCATCCTAAATGCCGGATAAATATCCCAAAAGCTATAAACCTCATCAACCTGGCTTTCCCCGCGATCTGATTAATCTTGGTGAAGTTCCTCCACGGGTGGTGGTGCAAACCTCACATTTCCTGGTCGTGCCACCACAACAGGGTCATCCGCAAACAGTGCTTTGATAAAAGAAGGGGTTCTCAAGGGCCGGCGACCTGTCATTCGTGGGTACACATCTTCCAGAAAGTAATAGGCATGACCGGCAATCATTCCCTGATTCAAACCAATAAACATACAGAGAAAGGATTAGTGGATGAAAACCCCGAAAACTTAAGGTATCGTTGTATAACTGGTGCGGCAGATTCATAAACGATTTGTGCATGAATTAACACACCGAATTTGAAACTATCAGTATACTACTACGTTATACACAGTCAGTAAGTTGAGATGCTCAATTGATATATCAAATCAGTGCAAAGTCTTAGAAGAGATAACCCACCAAAAGATCCACCCACGGGCTAGCTCCAACAAAGACAGAGAACGTCAGAAGAACCTGGAGGAAAAACGAAACAGATGTTTAACCATAGCCAAGGATGCAAGGGTTACTAATACTCATCATGTCTGAATCGTTTTCAGGAGGACTTGTCTTAGGATAAACATCAAGAGATTAATACCAACGACAACGAGATAGATGTTAACAGAAATCAATAAAGGAAATATTAAGATTACTGACCCAAGGTAGGTAAGCTGCTGTGAAGGTAAAGAGGCCCAAGAAGCTCATATGAATGAATGGATTTTGCTTGCTCCACACGTAGACCTGTTAAACAGGAATGCATAAGGGTTCTAGAAACAAAACAAACATACCAAACTTTGGAAACAAATCCATCGAAACCCAACAAAGAAAATGTATCGAACCATCATGAATGTTAGCGAGTTGCTGAGGAATATAATCTTTGCAAACGACGCAGACAATTGAGGTATCATCCCTCCAACCAGAACTATCCCAGTCAACACAGCGGCACCAAATAAGAGCATGTAAAAGAAATCAGCAGTCCGTCCTCGGAAAGAGTTCTCTTCGAGAAGCTTGCAGTACCGAGCAAGAAAGAACATGTGGAACATGAAATCCAAGTCTGGCAATGCCAAAATATAAAACCATGTTAGGAAAAAACAACCAGTGACAACTAAACGACACGAATTTCCATCCCTACAAATGGAAGCATTTTAAAAGTGGACAGCAACAATTACCCATTTTCCGGAAGTAAAGAAAATTAGTAACGAGGCGCCAGAACTGATACTGCTTGACCACTAGATTAGGGTTCAAGTACAGATTGTGAGGAGAGATTATCTGCAAAAGTTTTACCATTTGAACGAAGAAAGCCATCAGTCAACAAAGAGAAAGAAGTAGCTATAATAACTACATAAAACCTTCCAAACTTCCAACAAATCCTATCAAGCATGAAAATTCAACAGAGAACAAACTCACATTTACGAAATCCAGAACAAAAATTAGAGAAAAAATAAAACTAATGCCAGAATTAACCCAGCTGACAGATTTTAAGCTCCATCAAAGAACTAGATAACACTAAATAACAATTAAACATCTACATAAACGCAATATTTTCAAAACAATCATTCCTAAACAAATTTGCAAAACCCATAACATTCAGCTGCCCAAGTAAAAATCAAAGCAATAACAAACAAATTTCCAAGCTTGAGCCAAACCCCAATTGAAATCGGACAAAATCAGAAGACCCCATTTGCACCGAACCAACAGGGACGATTCTAGAGCGAGAAAGATCGAAATTTTTCAATGAGAGAGAGAGAGATAGAGGCATACGTCGAGGGAGCAACCGATGTTGGTGACAACAGCTGCGGTGAGGTAAGAGCGGGTGATCACAGGCATCTGCTTGTACCATTCTTCGACTGCCTGAGCCATGATTACGCAATCAAATTACAGCTCGAAGCAAAATCTGACCAACTTTTTGAGGGTTTGGAAATTTTGCAGAAAAAAGATTTTGAGATGCGAAAAGAAGAGAAGATAAGTCTTGAGAGACAGATCTGCGCCTCTCGCCTGAACTGGGAAATGACAGATGCAGGACCAATCAGAGAGCGAGTGACTGCCACGAACCAACCAGCTTGTTTCGCTCCGGTTGGATTCGAAGGCACTTATTCGCTACTATTTGGATTATTCAGTTTTTGGGCTCTCAGGCCCACGGGCCGCATAAATTGGAATCATCTGCGTTTTTGTTGGATTTTTGTTTTTTTTAACAAACTAGAATATTTACATTAAGGGGAGGGGGTGTGTTTAGCCTCATAATAGGCTAGTAATAATGTGGTTCAAATTCACATTTGACGAGAATCGAACCTAAGACCTCTCACTTACAAGTAAAGAGGAATACCATTAGATCGTAGTATTAAGTGGTTGTTGGATTTGTTTTTAATTTTGTCAATAGTTGGGTTGGAGAGGGGGTGTGTTTACCCTCACAATAGGCTAGTAATAATGTGGTTCAAATTCACTTTGCACGAAAATCAAATCTAAGACCTCTCACTTACAAGTAAAGAGGAATACCACTAGATCGTAGTATTAAGTGGCTGTTGGATTTTTTTTTTAATTTTGTCAATAGTTAGGTTGGGTTCCAAAAGAAAAAGGAAAAGGAGATGGGGAAGTTTCGAACCCGGTTGAGGAGCGTTACTAGAACCTGATTTTCTCAATGGCACTAGCCCTCCTACATACTTTCAATAGAAAAATTGATTGGGTTAATAGTACTACTATTGTCGTAAGTGATAGGCAATAGGTCGGTTTACAAAAGCTCAAAACCGTAATTAAACTAAATATTTAGGGCTTGTTTAAAAGTGATTTGAAAATGACTTAAAGTGCTTGTAGAGAAAATGTTTTTGAGTTCCAAAAACACTTGAAGTGCTTCCTAGAAGAATCACCAGCTATGTGCTTCTTCCAAAAAGCACTTCAAATGCTTTTTCAAGATTTACTTACATTTTTACTAAGAATTTTTTCTAAAAATATTTTTCACCAAAAACGTTTTCAGTCATTTTCAAATTCAAACGAACCCTTGGTAATTAGCTTTCTTTATGGTGTTCCTGCTTCTCTGTTATTGGGCTCGATGTCCATTGGGCTTCTTTGGGCGTTGAACGACGTTAGGGTCGGTAGGGCAACTTGTGAGTTCCACAACCACAATGTGTAAAAAGTTACTTTGGTTGGTTAGGATTTAATGCGGACACGACAATTTGCTGGAGTTACATCTCGGCCGTTGGGGTCATGATTACATAGTGGTTGATGCCCCCTCAAATTGAATCTTGACGGACGGGAATGCATGTGATGAGTTTCGTTTGATAATTTTTTCGTTTTTATTTTTTATAATTTTTTAATAAAATTGATTGGAAATGGAGGAGGAAAGAAGGGACGAAGAAGAACGAACAAAATGCAGTTTTTAAATTTTAGCTTTTGTTTTATGGAAGCCATCAAATTTTTTAGGGTTGATCGTCCACATTTCGAGAGTATTCATCCAAAAACTCCTTATCTCATACTAACAACATAAATTTTGTTTGTTTTAACTTTAGCACATAGATAACGACTTCTCTCAACGTTAACTTTTTATCTTTTTTTTTTAAATAATAAAATTGAAAACATTCTTCTTGTAATTACAGTTTTTCTTTTCAATTTATGCATTGTGCATTTAATTTTTTTTTTTTAAAGACATAACGATTTTCCGATTATTTGTCGGTATCGTAAACAACACAACGACAACTAAATATTGAGGTTTGAGGTAATTGGACGAGACAGCGCGATCACTATATCGTCCAAGTCCTTTTCAGTTGTCAATTTGAAGGCAATTAATCTTGTGGTCCTTCCCAAGAGATTAGATTTTGGAAAATATTTACCCACATTAATTGGGACAAGGATTGTCTGCCCTTCACTTCCAGTGCCCTTCCCGTGCCCTCATGATTGTGTAGTCACGGTTAAGCCACGTTAACATTTTATATTACTATTCATTTTTGTCTTATTATATATATAAAAAAAATAATATAAAATGTTAACGTGGCTTAACCGTGATCACACAAAACAAGAGGGCACGGAGAGGGTACTAAAAGTGGAGGGCAGACAATCCTTGTCCCATTACTTGACCCCAACACATAATCCCATGCACCGTCTTTTCTTCTCGTGACTTGCACATTTTCTCTCTTTTTTTTGTTAAAGGCATTCGCACAGCTTCGAGCCGAAAGAGTTTATAGGGGCACCTAATTATCAGTCGTCACAAATATGAATTTACATATGACAGATTGTGCACCAACGAAGACTGCTAACAACGAGATTTGAATCTTGGTGGGTTGAGACAAAAAGCAAAGACCTTACAATTTAAGTCAATTTTAACGCCGATATTATAAAACATTGCGTCAAAATATAAGATGACAAATAATCTATAAAGAGTCTCACTTTTAACAAAGCCTTTATAACATTTCTCGTAATCTAATATCATTTGTAATAAAAACACGATAGTCGAAGTTTCACCTAAACCGGTAACGAAGTGGGACTTGGCTCAAAATGATATAGTAACTCATCATTCGACCAAATCCAATTTGTAGCAAACGAAAAAAAATTTAGGCAAAAACCAAATAAATAAAACATCATTAAACATAACTTCAAATGGCAAGAAATTAAAGATAAACCAACAGAACATAGTCTAAACATTTGTGCAATAATGTGACAACTCAAATCAAGCACAATCCACCAATGCTTAGAATAATTAAAAGAAAAAAAAATTAAAATCCCAACAACTAAATTATATTATCGTTAATTAATCTTATTTGAAATTAAGCAGCCCTTGCAAGAACTTGAAGCCTCTCTGGCACATCAGCTGGCTCAATGAAGAAAGCCCTCCTCAAAGATCTCGGCACTGTGACCGTCAACACTCCGGCTTCGTATCTGGCTGAAATCCGTTCGATATCGGCCTGACCCGGAATCCGGAACTTCCTCATGAAGGTCCTGCTAGGCTGCTCTGTGGACTCCTCCTCCTCCTCAATCCTCTGTGTTCGAATTATAAGGTATGCTGAGTCCTCCACTTGTACTTTTATCTCCTCTTTCCTCACACCTGCTCATATGTCACATGTAACAACCCTCATTTTATAAAAAAAAGAGTGCGTGAAAATCACTTTCTGAAAAGAGAGACAAAACAAAAAACCAGCAGAAAGAAAAATTGGGTGGAATAATAAATTGGTAAGTTGTCAAAGTATGAACAACTTCCCTTCATACAAAGTGGATGCCACTGTTGTGATATCTCCAAGCGAATCTCAAACTGTCACGTTAGACGATTAAAACAACGTGACAGTATGTGATTCGCTTGGGATGTGGCCACAATCCGGCATCCATGTAGGTAAGTTTCTCTCATAAACTAAGAGGGAGAGTTAAAATTACCGGGGAGGTCAACGGAGAAAATGTGAGAAACAGGGGTCTCAGTCCAGTGCAAATAGTTTTCTGGTGCCAAATGATATGGGTAGATGAGGTGAGAAGGGAAGAAATATTGGTAATGGTGGAAGGCTGGGATCTCCATTGCTGCTTTAATTTACAAAAGCCAACAGAAGGAAGTTCTTTTGAGCCAACGAGAGGAAGTGCTTTTGCAGAAAGTTAAAAGTCTGCAATCCTAAAATGGGATGAATGAGGTCGGAGGAGGTGGCTTAATAGGGAGGGAAAGGTAGGTGGTTATCTATTCCACCAAAGTCATCGGATCAAATAATCTGGATTTTTGAAATTTTATTCAACGGTCTACCTCTTAAAAGTTATAATAATTTTTGACCGTTGAATAAAATTTCAAAGGTCCAAATCACTTGATCTAGTAGCCTTGGTAGAAGAGATCCAGCTTTTATATAGGACCTAGTGGCCAAGTTGGGGTTATGGGCATACTTGGACTAGGGGTAGGTTTACTTTTAGTTGTCAATTTTGACATTGTTTCATAAATACGACTTGGTATATCAAGTGTCATAATACAAATAGATTCTTTTTAGTACAACGATATATCTTACACTAAGAGGAGGGGAAGTTCGGCTAAGCCACACAATGGGCAATTTAATTTTGGTATCGAATTCGACATTCACGAGATTCGAACCTAAGACCTCTCACTTACAAGTAAAGAATAATACCACTAGACCGTAGTAGTGAGTGACCATAATACAAGTAGTTAGATACTTGATTATTATTTTTTAACTACTTATATTAAGACACTTGGTGTACTAAGTTGTGTTTAGACTTAAAAACTTTTCTATCTTTGGTAAGTTGCTCAAAGTTTTTATCTTGTGGTGTATATGGTGCTATTTAAAAGTGCTTATTATCTAGTTTTATAAAGTACTTACCTTTAAAATGCCTAATACTTGAAAGGCAAGCCTCGCATTTTTGAGGAGGATTTATATTGACTGCCATGTAGATTGAAGTTGGAATAATGGACAACGTGATCTACATGGCATGAATTTCAAATATAGTCGAAGATCACAAATATAAAATTCACCGAATATGTTAATTCACGTGTTGTAATAAAGATAAACAATGTTACTAATATGTTAAAAACTTTGGATAAATCGTAATGAATAGATACACGTTTATCACACGAGTGGATTTGTAATACCGAGTCGAGATATGCAATAAGGTTGCGATTACAATTCAAGTGGACAAAAAATGTAATGCCAAAAATACAACTATTCATGACAGGAGAATTCAGATTGAATCTTGAAATTTCATGGTTACCAACTCATGTATTTACTCCGAACACAAAACCATTGCTGTAAGAAGGAAGATTGCTGGAAGGCACGTGATGTTTCACCGGCGAGCGGAAAGGATTTGGCGTCACAGGATGTGTGATATGCAGTCCAGCACTTCGTAGAACCTGTTTCCCGTTTGCGCACGAGAGTTCAGATTGATCGGTGAAGAATGCTGGGACGCCCATGGACTTGATTGAATTAAGAGCTCCACCCCAATTTGCATAGCTATCCAATCCACAGTTCAGTGCAACAATGACATGGGGAGGAGGGAGGTAGGAGGCTTCCTCCTGGTAAACACCCCTGACAAGATTCACCCTCACTCTGCTACCGATCCCTGAAGTTGTCCCCGACAACTTTGTTGGAACTTCAGAACCTACCATAACGATTTGCACGTTCCCCAATCCATTGAGCAAATGACCAACCTCTGCAAATGTCGGCATCCAATCCAACTCTCCCTCTGGCCCTAGGTAGTGAACAATCACCTCCTTGCCCTTCTGCAGTAAGTTCTTTGAACTGATGTTGAGAGTTGTCAATACGTAGTAAACCGTCAATGGGTGGGAGAGGATCTCAGCAACCGGGCTTGACAATGGCAGTGACCGAAGGTTGTAGTATTCTGACCAACCAGAGAGGAGGATTGGACTCGACATACCATCTCTTACATGATGTTGAAAAGATGAGTCGCGTGGAAACTCTTCATCGTCTAGCCCTCCCCAAGAATCCCAGAGTCCACCTTTAACAGGAAGAAGACCGAAAGGGCAGTGAGAATAGCAACTGCACTTTCTCCTCCACATGCCTTTCTGATGGATGCCCAGTGATTCGAGCCATTTACAAGGTTGGTCAGCATCACATGCAAATACAAAAATGTTCATCGCAAGCTCTTCTTCCCTTTCCATCATAGCCTTGTAAAGACCGCATATGCTCTTATGCGTTTCTTTCGTATGCTGTTTCTGGCAGACAGAACTGCAGTAAACCACTGCCTTACATTGTCCACAAGAGAGAGCCTGTTCATTGTGGACTTCTTTCTCACATGCTGCACACTGCTTCAAGCTGCCATTTGGGTAGACTCTTACTTCAACAAAAGTCTCCTCTTTTGATAGTTCTGCATATTTCGTTGGGGTAGAGCTAGCCGTTGAACTAGCCTTTTCTTCGTATGCCTGGCCAGGTGGGTGTGAGATAGTAACTGCAACAAGATCATAACCCTTGGCCATTTCTTGTGGCCATTGAACATCAACGGTCTCAATAAATGGTTCAAAGTACATTAACCTCGACCACTTTGGACAGCCTTCTTTGTCTTCCTGCAGCAATGGGTGCACCAGAGCTATGGCTTTCACGAATGCATACACAAACCTAAGCTCTTCAGAACTCGGATGCCTAAACCTAAGACTCCCCGATGACGTGCATCTGGCAACATCAATGACAGGGAAGCGATCACTCCCTGACACTTCCAGCGACAAAGATTTGATCATTTTCCTATTCGAGGGAAACATCAATGCCTCGCGTTCATATGTGACCCGTAAAAGCTCAACATTGGGCACCTGAACTGTCTCCCTCGAGCCTGTCATCTTCTTGGCATCACTTTGAGATCGAAACATGTGAAACCCTATATCGCCGCCATCCCCTCCAACGAATTGAACACAAGGAAAAGGCTGTTTCTTGCCAGACCAATCTGCATCTTTCCCAACCCGGACACCAAAAATATGCCCGGGACACAATCTTTTCCAGGGATCAGTCCTATACAAAGCTGCTGAAGCTTTAAATAAGGACTTAATAAAATTTGGAGCAATGCCTTCTACCTTCATAAGACATGTCCCTGATCCGGGACCAAGGCCCGGACCGGACCCAAATTGCTCCTGGAATCTATCAAACAAGTTCTTCAAATGCAAATCCATTTCGAATTTCGATTTCACCAACCCAGTGCCAAGATCTAACCAACTCCTTGATCACACCAGTAAAAACCCAATTAAAAAAATGACTACCCTTTTCTTTGCTTCGTGTAAAAATCGATCATATCCAATGAAATCCAAAATTTCCCGAAGGCTTCCGTTCGTTCATATATATTGCTTGCAACAGAGAAAACCCATAAACTCTACAGAATCCAAAGTACGGGAGGTGTGATAATTCACTTCAACGGCTACTAAATTACATGAAAATCCCAATTAAATTTAAACAAATGGGGATCAAACGAATTTATAGAACTTGAAGAATGAAAATATTAGTGATCCGTACCAGTAAAAAGTTGGAGACTTTAGTTCTCTCTTGTGGGTGCTCAGATCCAGAGCACTGCAGGAGATGGAGGAATTTGAAGCTTTTGTGTTGGCAAACACTCGCAACTCGCGAAGCTGAAATCCATCGACTCCGAAAATTAATAAAAAATTTACTGTGCGGGCCATCTGTGTTGTCGTTTCATGGTTTTCATTCGTCAACCCAGTATTCACCATTGTCGGGCTCATATGAAAATAGGCTTAATTACTGTATTACTGTATTGGCGCAAGTATTTGGTTCCGGATCTCTTCCTTCTAATCCAATCCATCAAGTTCGGAGATTCGGATTATTGAAATTTGATTCAACGGCTAAAGTTATTATAACTTTTAAAGTGAGCCTCTATTTGTAACCGTTGAATCAAATTTTAATAGCCTGAATTTCCAAACTTGATAGATTATGATGAAGGGATCCGGGATCCCTTTCCATTTGCTGAAATTTCACATTATTACATGAAAGTCACAATTACTCACTTTTTGCCCTTTGATTGATGAGATAAAAGCTTCACTAGGGCGGTCAAGTCACTCCGCCAATGTGTGTGACCGTGTGCATCGAGAGTTGTACTGACACATGATTGGTTGATATTAAATCGAATGCAGTGGTTTTTGCATCTGTTACGACAATGCTTGACTATCTAACTCATTATGCTGTGTTAAATTTAGATTTTTCTCTTGATTGATTTTTGTTGTCTCATTTTGTGGATTATTAGTGGTGTGTTGGATATATGATGATCAATGACGAAGTTAGTATTATAATGGGATCATGATGTTGACAAGAAAAAAAAACCCCCTTTATTGGACCATTTCATCAAGCACTAAATAGAAACTTATTAATTATTGCCAACAGATGCCAATGGCCGCTTGCTGGCTCTGCCACTCATGATGACTTTCGAAGGTAATTCTTCTAAATATATTGTTTGTCATGGTTTTTCATACGCTGCGGCTGCTTCTGTACACTGTATTCAGAATTGGTACAAGCATCATATGTTGCAATTGTAAATAGTAACCAACAATATCCGAAAGGTACAAATTAAAACCAGAGCAGAAATGCATAAACTGATACTAAAAACCATCCTCAGATGTCAAATACTAAGGAGAAAAAAAAAACTGACTATTAACTGTTTCGTTCTCATACGAAAAACTTAAATCGTTGACGTTGCCACATGGATCTACGATTGTGCAGGTAGAATGACATCTTCGACGTCACACTCCACGCTGCTAATGCCATCAGAAGGAGGGATTTGAGGTTCGGCAGTTCCGAGAGGAATCGATCCTTCCGCAGCAATCTTTGATACGGATGGCATAGTAACAGTTGCAGCAAAAGGAGTTTGGCTGAGTTCTACGTCCAGGCTCTTGACCGCATCATGAATCAATGAACTATTTTCAGGACCGAAATCTGGAGGTTGGATTTGAGAATCCTTACATAGGGTTTCAATGCCTGTTATGACAGCGACAGAGGCAGGTTCGGCAAATATAGGAGTTTGGTTGAGCTCGAGATTTGGGCTCTTTGCACCATCATGACCCAATGCGCTCTTTTCATTTTCAGAATCCACAGCCTGAGCTTGAATTTGATGATCCTTAACTTCAGTTTCAACGACTGGCATGACAGAAATTGCTCCGGGTTCAGCAGATGCAGGTGTTTGGTTGAGTTCACCAACTGGCATGACAGTCATTGCTGAGGGTTCAGCAAATACAGGCGTTTGGTTGAGTTCAAGTCCAAAGCTGTTTACTTCATCAGCAAATGATGTACTCTTTTCAGAACCCACAGCCTGAGTTTGAATTTCAGGAGCCTTACACACAGGTTCAACGCCGGGTACGTCAGCAATTGGTTCAGCTGTTGTTTCTGTTTTTGATGCTTTATTGGCCTCGAAACCATTTGGCCCTTCCATTACTGTGGCAGCTCCAACTTCCTCCAACACTTTCTCCTGTTCAACAACATTATTATGCTCTGGCTTTGGCATCGCAGGGGCAGATTGGCTATCAGTTCTTGGTTCCGGAAATTGTTGTGACATGACTTTTCTTCCCAAGGGCAGGCCTGCATCATTCTTCGGCAAATTAACAACTGGAGGAATCATAAAAAGGAAAGATTTGTTTTCAAGTGACTCCGAGATTCCAGACTGAGGGACAGAGGATTGAGTTTGGTTAGGAACTGTAGGTATTTGGGGTTTCACATCAACAGGTTGCCTATTACTTTGTTCCGATGGGCGGGCAGACTCATGACGCTGAGATTGTGGGTTGAGAGGCGGTAGGGGAATTTCTCTTCTTTTGCACATCCTAATATGCGGAGCAATGTCATTTGCTGGTGTAATGGGAGTGATTTTCTCCTGTAGGAATACAACACCCCTCAGCTGAGTGTCAGTGTCTCCGACCCTAACATTCAGAAGATATCCAGCATCAAATGCCCCTTCAATCACGCCAGTGACTACCTGGCCTACCATTTCATTCTCAACATCATCACTTGCACTTGCACTCTGTTTGGTTTTCTTCAAACTGTCAGCTCCTGGCATCACAGTTGGACTCTCTGCCGGAGCCAAGTTCTCATCCTTACGTGGACGTCCACGTTTTCGCTTCATAGGGGGGTCTGGTGAAGATAAAGAGCCCGTTCCTTGACTCTGTTGATTCATGCTGACAGATTTCACGTTTTAAAGTTTTCCCCTGCAACGAAAAACGTAATTTCAGAATCTTTCCTAACACATGGTAACTTGAAACCTTATAAAACGTGAGTATGACTAATATAATATTGTATTACCAAATTATAATATGATTGGACTACAAAGGGAAAGAAAAGAAAGTGAAATGAGTACCAATGGTAACCATAAGTCCTGAACCAGAGATACAAAGTTATTCCTCATATCAGCATGATATTGTTTTAGCTCAATAAACTTAGAAATAAAAGTTTAAGTTTAATATACTAACAAATAAATTTAAATATCAGTTAAATTAATTGATTTATACCACTCAGAAAATGCTACAAAAGTCTAATTGCAAAAGACCACAGATAGATCTCTCGATCTTAAGATCGACACCTATACTGCTATATACCTTAAACAATTTACAAATATATCAAAAGTTTAAGGTTCATGCAATTGTTTTAGCTCAATCAACTTAGAAGCAGAAGTTTAAATTTAAAAACAATAACAAACAAATATCTCGCTCAAATCCAATTCATTTAAATCTGAAATCACACTCAGGAAAATGCTAAAAGAGTCTAATCTGCAAAAGATCACATACAAATCTCTCAGGAGGTTCAGATCTCCACCTACACTGTTACACCTCAATCAAATTACAAATATATCAAGTACAAAGGTCATGCAATAACCATGCAATTAACAATTAGTCTAATAAAAAAATCACAATGAAAGATCAGTGCTAAGGAGGTCTAACTTGAAAGAAAAAAAACTCAGATAGAAATCTCTGAATCATTAGTTCTCCACTGATTATGTACAAAGAAAAACAAACAAAAAAAAATCTCAATGGATAGAGCCAAGGTTTTGAAATTCTCACCAAGATCTATGACCGGAATGAAGGATTGAGTAGTAGGTCTAGACTCTTTCAGGCTTGTGCTAAATTAGAATCTTTAATGGATAGATAAAGAAGAGAGAGTGGGGAGCAGTGGTGGAGAAAAAGAGAAAAACGTTATGTCAAGCCAGTAACAATTTTACCTAAACAGAAAAATAACCATCTATAAATTTGGGCCGGGAGCTAGGGAAAAACGCTATGTCAGGCCTGTAAAGTAGTCCAAATTTTGGTTACTCCAAACTCATCGTAGCCCAATCCATTGAAACCTTAGGAGCAGGAATGTCCTCCTAAACGCACAGTCCAAACACCCCTCACCCCCACTCCCTATCATGTTAACCTTTGGAATTTCCAAGTAGAGTTATTTCCTAGTTCATACCCGTGGGAATTTCAATAAAGAGTAAGTCCAACTTTCCTTTCTGGACACCCTAAACTTCAGGCTCAACACAGAAGCATTGGAAGCTCCACTTATAGTTCTACTTAAGTATACGAATAAAAGATAAGATATGATTTCATGCATGTATAGAACCATCCTAGTTTTATACAATCATTGATGATATTGAGTTCTGAGGGAGGTATTGAAAGTTTAGAATCTTCTGAACAAATGTTTAGACAAAAAGAAAGACCAAGAAAGGAGAGAGACAGAAAGAGTAACTTGGCCACTTCAATCATAACCATGTCCTTCATTTCTTTATTTGGTCATAAGAATCTGCCAAGATGATAATGCTAAGATTTAAGAGTTTGCACAATCGCATCCCCAAAGACGCTGAAGCATTAAAGAGGTTTAAGAGACTATTATAGGATCTCATAGTTCGATACTTTATGTTGTAAGATAGATTCAATAAAAACACTAGCCTAGCATACAAGCAGCATTCAAGATATTAAAAAAAAGACAGAAACCAACTAAAAATACCAAAGAATTTGACCGATCAAAAGCCAACTCAACAAATGACCCCAATTCCATCAATGAATGACCTAAAGCAGCAAAAGCTTTTGTGTTCCTCTGAAACATATGCATCACATAACACAGATTACAATCTTATCAGATTTCCCCACAAAGCTATGCCACCATTATAAAAGAAAGTTGTGATCATGTCCTGACATAATCTAATTAAACTACCAAATTATAACATACAACTCCATAACTCCTAGGCTAAATGAGAATGTAATAATAGATGATAAACCGACTTCCCTGCAACCTTCCACTTGTAACACTTACTAACCAACACTTTCCTCTTATGAAGAAACTATCGATAAATAGTTTCCCATGAATGGAATTAAATTCTTACATTGTTGCAAAAACAAGAGTTGAACAAAATACAGTAAATAATACTATCATGGCTTGATTTTGTGCACTGCAATAAAGTAAGCTAATAAGATGTCTGTCAGAATTTCCTTATCTCTCAATGTTTTCTTCATTCTCACCGCTACGTTCTTGTTTCTCCATTTATGTATCATACATTCTCATTCATAAAACGTTTAAACTCTAATATTGTATGCAGAGTGTCCCATGTTACAGAAACCTTGATGTAGTAATAATAAACCCAAACGCAGAATAAATATGAACCCAAAAAAGCATTAGCTGATATGGGTTAGGCCAGTTGGTCCGAGCAGAGTGTGCCCGCCCCCTTGCACCTAAGTTCGAATC